CTTTCCTAAGACAACATTCCCCAAAATTTTGTTCTGATTATTTATCGCCAACACTGGTACGTAGCAAGGAGATTTCTCCTGATAGTTACACTTTGAACACAAGCGAGTCAACTTTGTTGATTTCCTTCAAAACTACCTCATATTAAGCTACTCACTGCGTTCGTTTGTAAAAAATATGCTCTCTTTAAGTTGTAGATTTTTTTCATAAAGACGGTGAAACGACTTTTGTTTTTGCCGTTTAAACACATCGACCTCCAACTACCAATCCAATTTTTTTTGATGTTTATACATAACCTGCAAGCGCTATTCAGGTGGGTAATTTAGTCGCACTTACGATTGTTTCGTGTGTTACCTAGTTGGTTAGCGAAGCTTTTCATCTTGTTTTGAAGGTCGTACACTAATGTCCAGGGTTGGCACGCTTTTACTTTATTTATTTAATCATAGTTTTGTACAATGCCTCTTTACTGAATTTGTCAATTGGCAATTTACAGAAAGGACTATCTAAAAGACACTAGTAACCCAGGTGAAGGAGACTAGAATGGAAGGGGGGTTTCCGTTTCCCCCACACGAACGACAATGACTGCTGGTAGCGTAATCAATTGGGTAATTAGTCACCACCTTACATTGTTTTCGTGGTGTTTACTAGGTGGTTACGGGCTTTCACTTCTTTGTTCGGTCTGGTTTATGTGCGCCTGTAAGTCGAAGGGATTACACGCTTTTACTTTACTCTCGTATTTGACTCGCTAGGTTTTGTACGATGGCCCTGCTTACTGTAAGTTGTCAATTAACTGATAGTAAAGGAAAGCGAACTATCTAACGATAACAGGGATTTAGGGCTAGTGTTAGTGTGAAATTTTTGCAACTGGTTTGCGACGGCATGTTCAGTGTTGATTTATATTATACTTATTCGTCAGTATTTAGTATACGTAACCATCTGTTTCTTATATTGATTACATTTTCGTACGGCTCTTTTATTAGGTCATGCATAGCGGTGGCTGACTTTTGCGAAGGTGTGCTGCCACTTTTTTGTAAATGTTTGTGTTGGCTAATAGAGAGCATGGAGGGAGGGTTCCTCTTCCCCCAACCGCGCGACAACCCCGAGGCCCTCTACGTCGGCGCGACCCCTTGCCATCTCGTCTAGAGAGGTGGAGAGACGCCCGACACGCCGTCGCTAGGCGGGGGGCACCAGGACGTAGGCGAGCTCGACGGGAAGCTTCTTGCACAGGAAGGTCGACAACATGAAGTACGCGTCACGTTCTGACTGCTCCCAACTTCAGCTGACGCGGGGAGGCTTAAGGCAGGTCCGAGCGGCATGAGCACGTCGCAGCTACGCAAAGAGGAGTACGCACTCTTCAGGTACCCCCACCGCAGGAAGAGTGCACCAGGCGCCATCAGGGCCTGGAACGGTCTCTGTGTTCTCCTGTGCAACCTCGGGCTCTCTCCTGAAGTCTCTGGCGGGGGTGTTACCACACGCGTCACGCTGCTCCCCGCGCAAATTCATCCCCGTGATGTAGATCAACGCGTGTATTTCAGAAGCACGAAAAGTACTTTGTCGCAATCCCGTCGCATCCGACGACACGAGAATGTCCGGTCACGCCTATGATGGTGCACCCCGAGGTCTATAACTTTTGTGCCTAGAGTGAAACCTTGTGTGGTCGGTGCTGGAGAGACATTGGGGTACCACCGGTAAGGTCGGGCGCGCGCCGAGGAGCCGTACCAGGTGGCAAATCGCGGATTGTGCAAAAGGTCTGTAACGCGGACGAGCGCCGAGCAAGTTGGGCGGTGTGTGGTACTGCTCGACAAAGAAACAAACAACAACGGTCTAACTCTCGACCGCAATACTCCTTAAAAGGTCATCCCCTTGAGCCACAAAAGTCTAAAACTGACAGTTGCCGTGGTCTTGCCGTCGTCCACGTTTTAGAGCCGACAATCACGTTCTTACGCGATAGTTTGCAACTCGTAGTCAACCATACACCGGCGCAGTACGTCTAGGCGAGCTTAAGTTAGTCAATAGGTACCGGCGTTTCGATCGTTCGAATTTTCTTCTAACATTACACCTATACACGGCATCTCCAACACGCGAAGGATTGGAAGCGACTTATCTGCTGGTTATTTCGGTTTCTGTCTGGTATTCGAGGAATCATCATCATGTAAGTGGCTTTACCGACGGTGGTAGGTGTGACATTCAACTGCATGCATTGATTAATAAAGCTATGGTCTGCTATTTCGCCTCCGGTCCGTGGGCCCAGGAATAACTCAACTGCCCGGGGACTCGGCATTCTACGACATGACCCAGGCGAAGAGGACGTCGACTGACTCGTGCCGGAGCGGTGTCCTATCAACTTTCCCCCAGGTCGACCTTGGGAGGGGTCGCGGCTGACGGACGCCGTTCCGAACGTATGACTGCTCCTGTTTCAATTAGGCGCTAAGCCAAAAAAATAGCACCGGAAAAGTTAACACCGAGGTTTGTGATTACCTCTCCTGTCAGGTAGAGGCGACTAACTGTACGGGTAGACGACAGAGACATCTGCGGTCGAAAAGATAAGTAGTGGAGTAAAGTACTGATACCATAAACATGTACCGTAATTTTCGGACTATAAGCCGCGCCTTTTTTCCTATTTTTCGACCCTGCGGCTTATATAACGGTGCGGCTAATCTATGGATTTGTACAGCTAACGGCCACTAGGGGACCTCCTAAATCTATGGATTTTACAGGTTACAGTCCACCACCTTTAACTCTATGGGCTCTATGGCCGGTCCGTGCCCCCCACCTTTAAGCGGCGGGCTCCAGCAGGAAAAGCTGGAGGCCGGAAAAGAGTGAGACAGGTAGCGCGCAAAAGTAAAAGTGGAACCGAGAGTGGTACGAGAGACAGAACGAGAGCAAGACAGACAGACCTTACGAGAGCGAGACAGTTTGTCCCCGTACCACTGGTTGAAAACCACTGCTGTAGATCACTGCCGCTATGTGATACAGTACAGTTTACACAGCACAGTACATGTTCTGTAGCTACTATTGCACTAAATGGTAACACTTGAATACGTTATGCAAATATGCAACTTGTTTGTTGAAATGTTAATAAATGGGAGCTTCCTCAAACAGCCATCTCTTTCCCGACAATCCCCTCTGTGCACGAACCCTTACATATGGTAATTAAACATTAAAACACCTGCGGCTTATAGTCCAGTGCGGCTTATATATGTACACATCATTCAATTTAGCTGCTGCGGCTTATATTCAGGTGCGTCTTATAGTCCGAAAATTACGGTATGTCAAGTATTCCAAGACAGAAAAACTTAAAAACGATACAAAACATACATATTACAGTGGTGCAGTGATGACATATTTTGTAGGCCGACCAAGAAGTTTGCAACGCAAGGGCACCGTCGACAAAAAGCAAATGGGATTTTTCCATTTGATTTCAGATAATTGCAAAAATTGCACAATAACACGATTGTTATCTCTTTTTAAGTTTCAATACAATTGCCGGACTTAA